AAAACCACAAGTGACACACTTCTAATAATTGACCAACATTCAAATTTAACCCCTTAGTTTCATTCACTTCAGGGGTCTATACCTATATTTGTCAGATTACTCAATCATTTTTTTTGCCTACCATTATTATAATATTATTGATGTTTATTTTGGAATCCAGTCGTGGGTTGGATTGGACGGTTTGGTGATGTTTATTTTGGAATCCAGTCGTAGGTTGGATTAGACGGCCTGGATTTGGCCCGCTGACCTCAAGTTGATGACCACTGATTTACATGGTTATATACAGATTATAGATGGGGGATAAAAACGTCCCCTCTTATATCCGTCCTTCTGGGCTCACAGGAAACCAGTCGATATCAGATGCAAGGTTTAAATGACTTATAATCAGGCGTAATTATATGTGTGTGTGTCAGGTTTAGTCAGTGTTGAATTATTGGCCCGTGTCTGGGATTTTCTTTGACCTCGGATGACTTTGTGCTGATTGCGCTCCGGTATGTTTGCAGTGACATGTTTACTGATAATTATTCATTAAAGAGACACACCGTCATGTCAGGGGTGGGACCGATGGTAGATTAACAGGCTCGGCTATAATAACTGTTATCAGTGTCTGGCGCTGAGTGACAGATTGGTTTCCTGTCTGTGATGATCTCTGTATGGACATGTTAAAAATATATTTTTGGAGCTTTACAGTGTCTTTAAACTTATATGTGTGTATATATTTGATACAGCTATACTTGTGGGGACAATATTTTCCAAAATAAATGATGTTTTTGTGACTGTGGCGACACTGTAATAGTTGAGGGTCAAGGGGCAGAAATCCTTACAGTTTCCAATGGTTAGCGATTTAAAGAGACAGAAATGGTCCTTAATGAAATTACTTAATTACTGAAGTAAAAAGACTACAGTGGTGATAAAGGTTGGACGGTGCAATATATGTTGGGTAAATATAAAGTTTCAACCAACTTTTCCTGCAGTCGCGTGTGTGTGTGAAGCTCCGTCACGTCACGACCGTGTTGTTGTTCTCCAGAAGAAACTGTCTGTTTTTCCAACTCTGTGTGTGGAAATGTTGGAGCTCATGTTGGTTTGAATGGTGTCTCATGTCCACTTCGTGTCTCTCCGCTTTTTAAACAGGGACGTGTGTGTGTGTAATAATTAGCTCCGATCACTCATTCTCTGGCTACATGCGTAACGAAGCTACTCGTGTCCTGTGCAGTACAATAACCCTTCTCTGCAGTTCTGTAATCTAATCAATCATCCACTGTATTTTCTCTCTGTTTTTCTTTAATTATTATATTATGAAATGATTCATATGTTTGCACAACACCCAGAACTCGTCTCCTGCTGCTCCCCATAGGAATGTCTAGTTATGAAACCGAGAATGTGGGTGACCTTGATAGAGTTGCATGGTTTTGTAAGACAGCTTTTTCATAACGTGCTCTATATGGTGTAAGCCACGTGTGGCCCATAAGTAGATCACGATTTACTGTTATATCGCCATCTACAGAAGGAGTGCTGGTAGATCACGAGCAATAAAAATACAAATAAAAAAAATAAAAAGGTGTTGTAATATTTTTAGACTAAATCAGTGTTGAGTCATATTATATCACACTGCAGCATACAGTTAGTCAAAGTACCTCAACATATCATGCATATATGTAATATATTTAGCAGCATACAGTTAGTCAAAGTACCTCAATATATCATGTATATATGTAGTATTTTTTTTTTTTTAAGTCAAAATGTGTTTGATATAAATACTGTAGGAGGATCATCTTAATACAGCAGGTGGCGATATAAAAAGAAATCCTTAATGTTTGTTTATGGTAACGGTTGTTTACTGTTGTGTTTAAAAAACAACAGCAGTTTTATATAATGGGGAGAAGCCTTTGAATATTTTCTTTTACTTGATGCATGTTTAGCATTTCATGCTTTGTTTTTTAAATTTACACGTTTTAAAATAAAACTGCCGTGTGCTTTGGAACATGTGACTTTGATAACTATTTTTGGTTACTGTTTCTTCATATTTCGAGATTTAAAAATACTGAGACATGAACTACTGTATGTCTCAGTAGCTCGACTATGTATTTGTATATGTCTGTGTATATTTGTATGTAAACCTATGTTCTTTTTTTTTAAAATTGTTATTTCCTATAACACCCTGCTGTGACTCACTGTCTCTTTCCTACCACTTTGTCTCCAGCACCGTTGGACCACATTCTCTTCAGCAACCGCTCCCAGATCCACTCCAGTCTGAAACACTATGACGAGGCTTTGAGAGACGCTGAGATGGTCTGCAGACTCAAGCCCCGGTGGTCCAAGGTACACAGAACACAGACTGGAATTTTTTAATTTCTTGTTACTTCCTGTTTTCTTGGGAAATGTACAAATTCTTCTATAAATGGGTTTGGTAGAATATGCAGCATGAAGTAAATGAAAATATGTTACAAAAACGTTCATCTTGTTCACGTTATGATTTCAACCGCAGCCGCCTTTCAACTGAAATGTATTCATATATTATATATTCATATATATATTTATGTGTGTGTGCATATATATGTATATATGTTGGTTTATTACAGTATGTATTTCAGTTGTGTATATTACACTGTCACTGTTTTCTCCCTTGTGTTGTTCCTGTGTTTGTTCATTTTTAAACCATTTTCTCTGTTGTGCGGTGGCTCTCTGGGGTCCCCCCCCCCCCCCCCTCTTTTTTTCCCCCCCCCCCCCCCCCCCCCCCCCGTACAATGACAATAAAGACTGTTATTTTCCATCCTACAGGGTCGTATCCGTAAAGCTCAGGCTCTGGTGTTGCTGGGCAAATCAGAGAAGGCTCTGAGAGAGTACCTGGTCTGTCTGTCCATGGAGCCTGACTGTCGACAGGCTAAGAACGAGGCCTACAAGGTAAATAACAACACCACTCAGCCCGTGACCTGTGATCCTGTAATAAATGAAGGATCTCTTTCCTCTTCTCGTGTCCTCACACATCGCACGGGAAATTGTTACATAATCAAGATTCAGCGCTGACATCATGTTTCGCTCTCTTCCTTCAGCTCCTCAGTCAACTGCTGGCTCCGGTCACAGATCAGGTCCCTCAACACATCTCAAACCGGTCGGGCCTGCTGTCTTCCAGAACCCACTTAAAAAACAGCATCAGTTCTTCCTTTCAGGTGAGCGATGTCCCATGTCCTCTGTGTATAAAAAATAAATAAAATAAATCAAAGTGACATCAGGTTTCATCACACTTTCCTTTCCATCCAGACTCTCAGCCCCAGTATATTTCCATCAGAGTCGAGGCTCACCTCCACTCCTCCTGTGCACGAGATGTCAGAGTGCTGCGGAGCTAAAGGCCAACCAAAGGTTGAGAACGCAAGACCTGCTCATTCGCTTTTCCTAAAACGGAAACAGAGGAGCTCAGAGGATGAAGAGGAGGTGGAGCAGCAGGGAGGAGAGAGACAAAACCAACACAAGAGACTCCGATCTGGTGAGTCTTTGAGGTTTTTTTGTTATTGTTTTTTGATAAATGTACCACACAATATCTGGTGTAACATTATTTATTGTGTGATTATTTTTCTCTCCAGAACCTGTGACTGAATCACTGAGCCCTGAGGTCAGCCCTATTTTGGACCCGGCAGATCTGGAATGTCCACTTTGTATGAGGTACAGGTCTCACAGAATTCACCCAAATATCTCTGAATAGTTATTCCATTCATATTTAACAAAAAGTTTGCACAATCACAAGCCACATGTGTTTGTCTGTCCTCGACCTCGTCTCTAACCGCACGTGTTTCCTTTCCTCTTTCTTAGGCTGTTTTACGAGCCCGTGACGACACCGTGCGGTCACACCTTCTGTCTTCAGTGTTTGGAGCGCTGTCTGGACCACAACCCCAAGTGTCCCCTCTGTAAAGAGGAACTGTCTGAGGTACCTGTCTGCTGTCAAAGTCATTCACCTAGACAGGGTCGTGACCTGATGTTAGGGTTAGACTGATGTGGAAATGTATATACATAAATAATAATCAATGCCCTCTCCTCTCTCCAGTACCTGGTCCAGAGGCAGTACTGTAAAACTGCGTTGATGGAGAACCTGATATTGAAGTATTTTCCCTTTGAGCTCATGGAACGACAGAAGGTCCACCAGGAGGAGATGGCCGAGCTCTCCAAGTGAGTTTTAACAACAACAACAACACATCATGGGATTTTTATTTATTTATTTATTTATTTTTACCCACTGACCTGCAGTAGATGAGACACATCCATGACTGCTGTCCTGTCATTAATCAGCCTGAAAACTAAATAAAATAATTTTAAATAATTAATGGATAAGTTAACTAAAATTAACTAATTATTTCTATATTTTTATAGTAATAGTATATAGTAATAAAAGACCATAGAAGGAAACTAATTATTTCTATATTTTTATAGTATAAAAGACCATAGAAGGAACAAGACAACTGATTACAACAGAGAAATTGATGGAGAAAACAGAGGATAAGGTTGAAGATCATAAAATATATATATATTAATTTATTTATTTTTGTCTTTTCAGTCTAAACAAGAATGTGCCTATATTCGTCTGCACCATGGCCTTCCCCACAGTGCCCTGTCCTCTTCATATCTTCGAGCCCTGCTACAGACTCATGATTCGCCGATGCATGGAGACGGGAACCAACTGCTTCGGCATGTGTCTAGCCGACAACCTGAAGGGGTCAGTGAGGAGCCCACACCTGCGTGCTTTTAAACAGTTGTGTTAATGTTCCAATACGTGGGCTCTTAACGCTGGGTCTCCTGTCTCTAGGTTCGCAGACTACGGCTGTCTGTTAGAGATCCGCGACGTCAAGTTCTTCTCCGACGGCCGCTCGGTGGTGGACACCATCGGCCGACGGAGGTTTAAAGTCATTCAGCACAGAGAGAGGGACGGCTACAACACAGCTGATATAGAATACCTGGAGGACGTCAAGGTAGGAGGAGCCTAGATTCAGTGGGGGGGTGGGGGCGCAGGGAGGGTGGAGATGGAAACAAATTTAACTCAGAGGTGGATGTGTCCTGTAGGTGGAAGGTGTAGCACTGCAGGAGCTGCAGTCTCTGCACGACGCGGTGTACGACCAGGCTTTGGTTTGGGTCAACTCCCTGAAGGCGGAGCAGAAGGAACGCATTGAAGGACACTTTGGACCGATGCCTGAGAAAGACTCTGAAATGCAGGTAAGCTGACGACACCGAGCCAGAGAATGATAAGGACTAGCATTACGGCTAATTATGGTTGTAACAATTATTATATTAATATTTAGGCAACTTACCAATGCTGTGTTTTGTTTTGTGTTTTAACAAAACATGTTTTCAAGATGTGTGTGTATCGGCAACAATCCTGCGACACGATACGATACATTGCGATATAATACGATGCTTTAGGTCACATCAGGTTACTAACACTGGAACAGAGGGATCTACATTTGGAATCATTGCATGAGAAAGAAAAATGAAACACCAAAAATGAAAACCAACACCAGGAATATTGGACTGGGAATTATTTATAAAATATCGACACAGTATCGTGAAATTAGATATTGTGATACGAAAATTTTCACAAAATATTTAATTATTATTAATTTATGACAAATAGTGTGAGGTTCTATTAATAATGACAAATGTTTGCACACAGCCCTGCAGGGGGCGCACATCCCACATAACATTTACATTTGTTTCCTTCTCTCTACCACCAGGCCTGTCCCAACGGTCCGTCATGGTGTTGGTGGTTACTTGCCGTTCTTCCGTTGGAGGGTCGAGCGCAGCTGCCGTTCCTCGCTCTGACCTCGCTGAAGGACCGCCTCAATGGTATACGTAAGGTGTTGCTCTTCATGGCCCAGAGCAGACACCGGTGAAGGACTCTTTAGGCAGACCTTGACGAAGCTGCTGTCAAAGTTTACCTCCACCTCAGCAGCAGAACAAACATGAAGTGCATTTGAATGAACAGAACTCCTGTCTACGTCTCGACAGACGGCAACAGACGCCGGTCAAGGTATTGAAAACTTCCATTTGTCACGATAAGTGTCTTCATCCGTCCGCGTCCAGCGTTGCCCCTCGGGCTCGCTTTCCTCGTTTCCTCGTTTCTGCTGCAAAAGTGAGTGTGAAGTAACACACCTTAAATGAACTAGGAGTGAAATATAACCTGGCTTTTTTTTTTTCATTTTTTATTGGAACGTTTTTTTTTTGTTTTTTGTTTTTTTGCCAAGCTGTCTCATCGCAGCTTTAAATAAAGGTGAGAAACATTTTCAGTTCAGCGCTTGGAGCAGCAGCAGTCATTAATTTACCCCCGCCCTCTTCCCTCCCCTTCTGCCCTTCAGGAATGTATAAATTATACAAGAAACCAACCGATGAATTTAGCTTTTTTTTGTTTTGTTTTTCAGTGCTCAAAACAGCTGAGTCAGCAAAGTAATACTTAATAATTAATATTCATTAAACCTCAGTGACTGAATACAACCTTGATGAATTGGCCGAAGATGAACTTATTTACATTTTCTACAATTAATTTATTTAATTTAATTTTTTTTATGTTTTGCTTCCATTTCTGTGTCTGTATCACCCAGCTGGGTCACAGTGGACCGAAACCTCCACATCGATGTGCTCCATGGCTTCTGTTATAGTTTCCTTTTTTTTTTTTAATTTGTTGATTTTTTCTTTTTTCATTTATCGTTATTTATATTTTTCATTATTTATGCATGCAGTGACATTGTTTACATTTCACAGAAAGAGAGAGAGAGAGAGAGAGCGATGACAGTTTCTGAACAAAAAGCTTTAAAAAAAAAATAGAATGATGTTGACCCTAAACATTAAACTGCACTGGTTAGCATGAACTGAGTGTATTCACCCCCCCCACCCCCCACAGGCCACCCAGGTTTATCATAATCCCAGTATTGTTTCCAACATTTGGCTCCCCCTGCTGTGAGTAGCTGTTATTTCGCTGTGAAATCTGTGAAGATTATGTTCCCTTGATTGTAATCTTCTCAGATTATCTGACTAAGTTTTGCACTTAAACCACAGGAGGCCGATGCTGCTAACTAGCCTCAGTGTATTTACTTCCATCACGACAGACGTTGGATTATTTCTTCATGTGGATTAGCACTGAATTAACATGTTGGTAAATCTGATCCCCGAGAACGGAGGTCCTCAACAACCGGGCTGATTTGGTTTTATTGTGGAAGACATTTAATTCTCTATAAATAAAATCATCCTTTTGACACCTGTCAAAATAAAAGTTTTTAGAGCTACTTTTAAAACAGGTCTTCCAGAATAAAATTGTTAAATTTAAACATACAGCAATATCACATTTTCAACCCTAAGGATAAACTGTGTTTTACTTTTATGAGCTTTACTTTTAAATGCACTCTGTCTCTGATTTTTTTTTTTTTTTTTTTTTTTTATATATTTATATTGGTGAATTTTGCCTTTTTTTCTCACCGCACCTTAAAGACAACAAAGGCTTGGGAGCTCTTTTTTATTTTATTTTATTTTTTTTTATCAAATACAAATTATATGAGTGCGAAGGTTCAGTGTTCATTTATGTGTGACTGGTACCATTTTAATAGTAAAGAATAGTGCCTTCTCCATATTCTTGAATTTTACGTAAGATATTTACACACATCAGTTGTATTAAGTCCTGGAACACCTGCGGACGTTAATGATCACGGAACGTGAACGACTATTGGGTGAAAAATCTAAAGACAAACATTTTCAAATACTGAGGCCTTCCTTTTGTCTCTGTAGAAATGTTTTCACATGGAAAAAAAAAATCTCATCCGTAAAATGAGACTTTTGTTTTGTTTTGAAAGTGTCCTATTTTATACAGTATGCATTGTTGTTTCAGTTTCTGTTTGTTTTTTTCTATAATGTTTCTTATTAGAGCAATTGTTTCTTTACTTCCAATGTTGCAGCAGAGGTTTCATAAAAATCTTAAAAATCATAAAAAATCACAATTATTTTCTTCCAGAAGAAGAGCCAGAAAAAGGGATTTCAATTTTTCTAGTTTTTTTTTTTCCTTTAAAATCACATTAAGAAACGGCCGTTAAAGGACGGTTTTATGGCAGAGCAATATTGTACAGGACCAACTTTATATTATTAGGCAAATAGATACAATTTATCAAGTTTTTGTGTGAAGACGCATCAGACCGTTCATTAAATTGGAGTCGATAAATGTGGTTAGTGATTTGTCACTAGTTAAGTCTTAGGTGAATTATTGTACTGAGCAAGAAAAGGAGGAAAACATGTGAATTAAACACCTGCTACAACATGTTTCACATGATAAAAATTCAGAATACTTCACGTAGAATTTACTCCGTGTGCAGCCGTTCAGTGCAGTCTTAACAACTAAAAGCTAATGTTTTGTTTTCTTCAAAAGTATCGTGTTGTTTGGAAGTACAATAAGAGTCACTGAGGTGTAAAAAATAAAATAAACTACCATTAGGTGGCAGAATAGATATGCAGTAAATACACGTCATCGTGTTTAATTTACGCCTGATTTAGCTGCTAAAGCTGAGCTTAATCTAAAACGAAGCTGTCACCTTAAATTTGGCTGAAATGATTATTATTTCTTTTATAACTAAACAAAAACTAATAATGAGATGAGAAAAAGATGGAGACGAGTTGGGAGTTCCCAAAGGTTAGGAAATGTCCGACAGGTTCATGCTAACAAACTGATGATCTGTAGCACTTCAATCATCTTCACTGTAGTCGTCCAACCCGACCTCTGTGAAGTGGTTCGGTAGAAAGGGATTGGAATCTTCTTCCTCATGCAGCTATGCAACAACAGCATGACCTGGTTCTGATGTTCTCGACCTTTTAGAATTTTCTTAGAGGAAATTCGGCTGTCTTTCAACACATAGCGCTTTTGTTTGAGGTCACTGAGTCGGGGCCGGCCGAGTAGGCCAAGTAGCACATCCTACTGTTTGTTAGCACAGCCGCTGGTACGAGTGCAGAACAAACCCCCCCTAGAGGCTGCTTTTTTTTTTCACCTTTAGACATGCTCCAAAAAATGTCTTTACAAGTGCTATGCAACATGAACTGGTCACTAAGGGGACACCACAGTGCATGTGTAACTCTGTTAATGTAAAGGAGCTCATTATGTGTTTGTACAGGCAGCTACATACAGTACCTCTTCCCCTCCATCCTGTCTGGTGATGCTGTACGTTTTACACACCTTACTATGCAAAAAGGAAGGTGTCAAATTTTGCGCCTCTTGTTATTGCCAGGCTGAGCTTTCAAACAGTAGGTAAAATTAGGTCTTTGTTAGAAAAACAAAATACAATTGTTGACCATTTGTAAGGGCTTTTTGACCTGGAATCAATTGAGCTATGTGTTAAAAATGCCAGAGTTCTTTGTTAATAATAATTTTAAATATCTTCCCTTTATTTGCTACATTTACTGTAGCTTGGTTAAACAACATAATTTACCCTTTTCTGCCAGCCTTTTTTTTTTTTTAACAATAACAGTTTTTGACCTAAAATGACGCCAGTGGTTCAGAATTCCTCGGAGGTCCCTCATATCTGGGACAGAAGCGTATCACTCGACACTTCAAGGACTTCTTAATAATCACAGTCATTTCCCCAACCAAAAACTGAAGTCCCTCATACGTCCTTGGCCTCTTCATGTGCCTGAAGATTTGGTGTAAATTTAAATGTGTGTCCTGAAAGTGTTCTGATGTTGTTCTGTATTAGCTTTTGATAGTTAAACTTTAGTATGCATTGCCATGTAAAAGTTTGATGCAACAGCTTGTCAATAAACCAAAAGGTTTGTGTTTGTAATCCTGGATAGGAGCTTCAACACACCAGATTGGACCAGATCCTAACATCTCTTTCTGTCTTCTTCAGGGGTTGGGGGTGGTGGTGAAAAATTATGATTTTTTTTTTTTTTTGCCAAAGTTTTATCTTTTCTGCATGTTTATCATCAAATTAAGGCATTTTTGAGAAATATTTTACATTTTTTAAATTTTTTATTTTACATAATTTACATTTTTTATTTAATATTTTAAATTTTACATTCTCATGTCATGTTGGTCAGATGGTGAAAAAATATAACATTTTTTTTATTTTTTTTTTCTTCCAGATCCTAATCTTGTCTGCATGTTTCTTATCAAATTGGGGAAAAAAATAATCTGGAATTTCTTGTACTCACGTTGCTATAATTAAGTAATCTTCGTGAGCAATTTGTAATTTTTTTTAGGTAGCTTTTGGTATAGTTAATTTTACATTTACCTAAGTAGATTTTAACGTAAAGTTATTTGCGTGCCGTGCGCGCACGGTTTTCCACTGTGTGTCATACTGCATCCGGTCGTCGGGGGAACAGGAACTGGAGGTGGATGATTGCCCAGCAGAGAGTACCTGTGGAGCAGAGGACTCGGAAAGAGAAGGAAAATTATTGGCCAAATCTCAGCCAGCTCTTTGTTTTCAAATCCAAACGCGGAAATAACGTCATCGGCGGACTGAGCTGTCAACGTCAAACCTACGAAAGCACCTGTCGGTAAGTAGTGCTTTTACCTGTGTTTCACAAACATTGTTTATTGTTTGGTTAAAACCTTCCTCCGTTAAGTGTGCCTTCATGATATCGATTATCTTTCCCTCGCTTTGCATCCATCCTCATAGCTAACGTTTCAGTGACGTAGATCCGTCAGAAATTGTGTGCAGGATTTTAATTGTAGTTGGTCTCTAATGAAGTTATCTTAATAATATACTAGACTTGTTGTAGTCTAGACCAGTGGTTCTCAGGCTGTGGTGGGTGTCAACCAGTGGTAGGTGTCAACCAGTGGTAGGTGTCAACCAGTGGTACTTAAGCGCTCTCTAGTGGTACGAATGGAAAATTCATATATTCACATTTACATTTTCAATTGAATAAATCTGAAACATACCATGTACAGTTACAGTATTTTGCGCACTATAGGGCGCACTTAAAAGCCTTTAATTTTCTCAAAATCGGCAATGCGCCTTATGTGTTAATTCTGGTTGAGCTTACTGAGCTCAAACCTATTTTATAAAACCAAACCACACAGCGGACCAAAAAGTTTTAGGTTTTGACCAAAAAAGTTCACATTTTGACAGAATCTTTTTTTAAAAAACTTAATGTTCTCTAACTGCCCTAATTTGTTGAGAAACGTACAGGAAAATATTTTTTTACAGAAAACGCCCACAAAATGTTTTAGTTTTTGAACATAAATGACACGAAAAGTTCAATTTTTCACAGTAGTTTTATAAAAATATTTCTAAAAATGTTCTGTAACTGCCCTAATTTGATGAGAAACGTACAGGAAAAGATATATATATATATATATATATATAAAAAATTTACAAAGATTCTTCAGTTTAGTTTTTGACCAAAAATGACACAAAGTTCACATTTTGACAGAAGTTGTTATAAAAAAAATCCCCCAATTTGATGAGAAACGTGCAGGAAAAGATTAATTTAAAAAAAAAAGAATTTTGCAAAATATTTAATCGTATATATATATAAATTTTACAAAGATTTTCATCAAAAAAGTTTAGTTTTTGACCAAAAATGACACAAAGTTCACATTTTGACAGAAGTTGTTATAAAAAAAATCCCCCAATTTGATGAGAAACGTGCAGGAAAAGATTAATTTAAAAAAAAAAGAATTTTGCAAAATATTTAATCGAAAAGGTTTTGTTTTTGAACAAAAATGACATAAAAAGTTTTTATAAAAAAAACAATTCTAAAAATGTTCTTTAACTGCCCTGATTTGATGAGCAATGTGCAAGAAAAGATTTTCATCTTAGGCATGTTTTGGGTGA